GAATTATTATTCGCTGTTCCTACGACGCAAATGGATCAATTACTCGTGTTGCTAGAATCTTCACCTTTGCAATTTTTAATTTCGACTCTTGCGTCGAAGGTGCGTCAAAGAGCTGCACGACTTTATTGGCATTCTTCGAGCAGGGTGGTCCCTTGCCATGCAGGGGCTATAACTTGCCCTCGAACCGGGCTCGCGCGAGGGGTTGAAATTTTGTACGGAAGTGTACCACCTATTAGCAGGCAACCGTGTGTTACGTCGCTGTTGAACTTCAGGTAAACTCAGGTGCGCGGCGCCTGAGTATAGAAAAACACACCGCCCAATCGATACTCGAACCCTAGTTTCCTCGAAACTATTCCCCGGTATTATTTTCAACGTGAAGTCGTAGGTTCGTGTTAACAACGTTAACTGGTTTCGGACTGTTCGCCGGCGAAAATCGATAGTTTAATTTTAACGTCGATTCGACGGGGCTAATTTCATCACGCGCAATTGAAATTGCATTCGTCGGCCCGAAATTTGAGAAAATTTCGATAACGTTTGTTACCTTTGTTGGACGAATTAAAAAGCAGTTTCCACTTTAATTTTCTTTCTTTTTCTTTTTCTTCTTCTTCTTCTTTTTCTTCTCGTGCTCGAAACATAACGGCAAAGAAGACCTCGACTCTGAAAATTCCGAGAATTCAACGAGACTGAATGGTTAGCTGGAAACGTCGCAATAAAAAGGTAGAATCGCAAGCGTCCTTCTTCATTACTCTCTGTCTCCTCTTCTTCCTCTCCCTTTTTCTCCTTTTCTTTCTTTCTTATCGTACTAACCGTGGATAGCCGGCTGGGTGTTTTCTACGCTCAGCCGACGAGCGGATGCGGACGAAACGACGGCCGGAAACGCGGCCTGAGCGGGGGCTGAACGTTTGACATATTTTGTCCGGAAAACCGACAGATCAGGGACGATAGCGGCGTACAGAGAAAGGGTTGGTGGTTGGGGGTGAGCACAGGGGCACCTCTGCTTCTGACGTGGAGATTAGTGTCCGCCATTGTGGTGACGTCACCATAGTTAACACGCATTCAAACGACCGTGGAAACGGCTGGTGAAACTATTGACCAACGCCTCGCGAGTTTCCTCGCCTCGTCCTCGTTCGTTCTCGAACAAAAAGGGAGGGGGGAAGGAGGGAAGAAGAGAAAAGAAAAGAATCAACGGGTCATTTTGTCCGGAAAGTGGTCCGAGACAATCGTACGAGATGGGATGGCGGACGAAAATTAACGTTACGGTGGACGGCAAGACGGTAGAAAGGGGATGATCCATGGTTGAATCGCGCGCTGTCGAGCTCGCAGACCGTCGGCAGAAGTCGGTACCGGTTGACAGATGAATGTGCCCCGGGGGAACAATAGGGAGCCGACCAAAAATTAACGGCATTGTCTTAACTTCGAATTTCGCATGGCGGTTGGCTCGGTGTTTGCTTAGTCGATTATCGCGGAACAGGGAGGCGCGGCTGGGCCGCGAACGCATTCAGAAGAGAGCTTTCCCGCTTCGGGCTTTCGATTACACGTGCCAGATTCGACGACGCGACGGATTGTCCCGACGCGTTACCGCCGGATCTCGAACTTTATGACGTGTAATTTTGGCTTTGACGTCTTCGGGAGATGTACGAGCGAGAGAGAGTAAGAGAGAGAGAGAGAGAGAGAGAGAGAGAGAACTGCGTGTTTATGGCCGGGGCCTTGTTTCGCCGGGTTCAAAATCCGGGGGAGGGGGGTTGGTAAAGTAGATAGCGCAGTGTGACGATCCCATTTTCGATGGGATTTCCATTTTCAGTCCTTCAGATGTGACAGGGACTCGAAACACGAGCGAACGTCGTTACTCGAAGCCGAAAAAACTAAATTTTCGAATATTCTCGAAATCCCAATTCTTCCCTCCCGTTCCAGACGACTCTATTTTAATCAAGTTGCGCTGGCAACTGATTGCGGACCATAACGAGCGACCGAAGAAATGTATACAATAATTTGTATTCGCTTTCTTTTCGAACTCGTTGATATGGTATGATAGAAATTATTGAGATGTAGTTTATTTGTTTTTGTCTGGGTGATATTTAAATGTACTTAAAACTGAGAGAATATTGCAATTTCGAAGGCAAGAGGTTGACCAATCGCGCCGACAACTGATTGCGGACCATAACGAGTGACCGAAACCGTATACAATAATTCGTCGGTATCGATATGACTGGATAGAAATGATTGAAAAGTAATAAACTTTTTATCTGCTTTGTCTTATTATTGTGTTATACTTATTACATTTAAAACCGAGGAACTATTGCAATTTTGGGATAGAAAATTCTTGACGCGCGTGGCACGTCATTCCAGCGCAAGAGGTTAAATCACCATTGATTTTATGACAGATTATTAAACTCACCTCAATTAGGATTATAAAATTATTAAAATTCACGATCATTTGTTTCCAAGTCCATCTTTAAATACCGAGTAACTTTTCGCTAAGCAATAATTTTGCTACGCTTACCTAAACGATCGAAACAATCATGACACCCAACAGAGCAGCAGTAAAAGTGAATTTTCTTTCAACTGTACAATTGCAACTCAACGTTTATCTATTTTTATTTTTATTTATCCAGAAGAGGATAATGCGTTGAATCCCCTTGCTACTGCAACCAGACACGCGTCGTAGTAGTGTTGGTTCACGCGCAGGGTGAGTACTATTCTTACCTGAGCCTCGTTCGTCGATACCTCTCTCGAACGTGAGATGGCGTGTGCCGCATTTCGAAGAGAGCATCTCCTCTCGTACCGTACAAATTCCAACGAGATCGATCGAGAGAAGGAAAAATCGCGAATAACAGCTCGATCGTTCGATTCCGCGGCAGAGCGGAGACGAAAAACGACGACGCGACGCGACGTGGGTTTCGCACGCGTTGCGAAATGCGCGTTATGCAATAAACATAACGAGCGTCCAATAGCAACGGCTCGAGAGGAGTTGAAACAATTTATGTAACGAGCTTTCTATAGCCAGCGGTGGTGCATCGGTATCTGGCGTGAGATCGATCAATTATTTTCGCATAAATTTGCTCTCGTAATCGAGACAAACGATCGCTCGTCAAAGATCAAAATTAGTTCACCAATATCCTTTTTTTTTTTTTTTTTTTTTTTTTTTTGGATCAGAGGCGATCGCGACAGTTTTCGATTAATATTCCAGATGAGCTGTGTTATTTTAGTTTGCGTGATCCTGTGATCAAACAAATTCCATTGATCACTGTAAATGATTGATAGCAACGGAAGTATCAATGAACCCGATTAATCCAAGAGCCAATAATTTACGGTGGGAGGAGATGTTGCAGAGTAAGAAAGCGTTGGGGAGATGAACGTTGAAACTAGGATGGAATAGTAGTGCATTGACATAATACGAGTTATTTAAAAACAATGTGGTTTATTTGAATCGCACAAGACATACACCGTATCTGCTATGTTTATAATTACGGACCTCCCCGTGGAAAAGCTGGTCAAAGGATGTGCCTCGAGTCATGAGCTTTGGCCAGTCTTTTGCCCGAAGACGCCTTGCTTTCTCGTATTGCCTTAATGTCGATCCTCGGTTTTTCTCTCTGATATTTTCAATATTCCCTTCTCTCTCTCTCTCTCTCTTTTTGTTTTCCGTTTTAAAGTGCTTTTCCGAAAGCGTCGCCAGGCCGCGACAAAACCGAGATCGTGACGCGTCTAGAAACCGAGCCTCGGATTATTATTACCCTGGATCAGAAGATTTCGTGCTAAAAATCCAATTTCCCTGCTACCGACAGATTTTTCGTTCGCCGCTGCGCTTTCCTGCGCTTCCGGCCGCGTTCACCTTGCATGTGGCCTCGCTTCCCCACATCCGGTCGCTTACTATATTGTAGGAAATACCTCTCCTTATCTTTTCTCTCTTTCTCTCCTTTATTTATTTATTTATTTAACTGTCTAGATACTTCAAATTCGCTATATCTCCGACTTAGTTTTTGCTCTTCGCTTTATTATTTACTTTTTTTTTTATTTCGTCTGGGATTATTTTTTTTTTTCTTCTTCCTCTTCTTTTTCACCATTTTTACCCTGTGTAGAAACGTTGGAAATCGATCGACAGGAGACGACGGACAGCAGGCAGCATTCGGAAGAAACATCAGTTTCATTGTTTCGTTCACGTTCGCGGAGGATGTTCGAGGTTTCGCGGCCGAATTCGCCCTCCCCCCCGTCGATCGAATCGCCCGCCGCGAAATTTGCGTTGTGTATGATTGCGTTCTTTTCTTTTCCCCTTTTTTATTTTTTTTATTTTTTTATTTTTTTTTTTTTTTTTTCTTCCTATGCTCGCTTCGTGAGGCAGGGAACTTGGTCCTATGTGGGATGAATTCGAATAAGAAAGACTTTGAGAGAAACTTTTGGAACTTTTGGAAGCGCGAGCGCGCGCGCGCGTGCGTTTCGTCGCATCGTCTCACGGATTGAGGAAATCGGTTCTGTGAATTCGCACGACCCCTCTCCTTCCTACCCCTACCCTTCTTGATTTGATTTTCATCTTGCTGTTTCGTCGCAGGATTCAACGTGATCGAAAATCGAGAAAGACTGAAACCGTGCGCCTCTCGACGAACCGTTCCAACTGTTTCCCTTCTCGTAATGCTCGCGCGCCGAGACAGACACCCGCGAAGATGACGAACGAAACGACGCGTTTCTCGTGCACACGAAAAAGGATTTGATGCAATTAACATTACGATGATTTTTATCATTTATTTCTTTCACGTTCGAACGACGACGATCGATGCTCGTCCGCCTTGTTCTCCACCTCCCTGTAATTCGTCTCTCGCATTTCTTCTTTTTTTTTTTCTTCTTCTTCTTCTTTTGCTACGGGCAGTGCCATATATTTACAATATATCGTATAAACGGAGCCTGGCCATGTACGTATCTTCAGAATCAATCTAACAAACGTTTTTTTTTTTTTTCTTTTTTCTTTTCCTTTAACTAGATAACGAGATTTTCATTTTTTTTTTTTTTTCTTTTTCTTTTCGTTTATCGTTTTTGCCTTTTTTACCTAGGGCCGTACACGTCTAACACCGAGACAACTATCTTGATATGAGTTTTTTTTTTTTTAAATCCCTTTTTTGTCTTAGATCCCTTTATTACTCGCACTCATTCGCACATGATACATAACGCGCTGGGGGAGGGGTGTGTGCGGGGGGTGGGGGAGGAGGGAAAAATCGACGAAACGATCTCGTTCGATTCTTCCTTTCTCAACGCACACGTACAGTTGCAACGATCTCACGCGCACGCAAAATGTCAAGAGACACACACGCTCGTACTACATATTCCAGTTACTCTTTATCCTTATTGCCTAGGTCGTCTCTTCTTTTCTTTTTTTTTTTCTTTTTTTTTCATTTTTTTTTTTTTATTTAGGAACAGTCCCCTTCGAAAACGCGATACAACGAGACGTTTTGCGGGTTAAAAAACGTCGAAACCGAGAACAGAAGGAACGAACGAAAGGGGATGAAACGAAAACCGTGAAAGCACGCGCGGTACAGGTTCAACGGAACCTCGTCGAAGGAAAGGAAAGTCGATCGGCAGCGATCGCGCGAATACGATACAAATACCTCAGTCTTCGGCTTTCACCAACGAAAAAAAAAGGAAGCAGGGAATGGAAAAATGATAATCAGTTAACTGGCCGTCGTTTGGACGCGACGATTTTCGTAGGATCGACGAAGTCCGCGGTCTCGATCCGGCGAAAGCCGCGCGCGATCCGATCAGCCGCGACGGCTATAATAAATACAACCAACGAACAAAACGCGCGCTATAATGATAGCCGCGGGAAACGTTCGTCGACGATCTCTCCAAGAACGATGTTCACGCGAGCCCAACCACACGTTCCACTTGCCGAAATTTATTTCCCTTCGTTCTCCCGATTTTCCAGATCGCGACGAAAGCAAGACAAATTTTCGTGACTGGTCCGTCGAACGTTGATTAGAACGCCCGCGATATTCGTTTTGAATTGCGCGTGAAGAGAAACAAAGAGTTTCGAGAAGAGAACCGTTTCGACGAACATCCCCCTCTCTCCGCCCCCCCCCCCTCCTGGCCGACGCCTATCATAATATAGCGGCGATAAACCTAAACAACTTTGGCATCTTCTTTAACCACCACGTAAAACATCATCTCCGATAATAATTTAATAATTAGCGGGGATAAAATAATGAAGACGGCGCTTACAGTCGCTTGTAACCGCGTATAATAATAATAGTGGCAATGAATAATAATAATAATAATAATAATAATAATAATAATAATAATAATAATAATAATAATAATAATAATGACAATAATAATAGCAATAATAATGTTAATAATGACAATAATAATATTAATAATAAGCAATAATAGAAACGTAGATAATAATAATAATAATAATAATAATAATAATAATACATAGTAAAAATACTATGATACATTTTACATAGGAGCAATGCTTAAAGTCTAGAAATAAACGCAGCACACACCATCTGGCTCGCTCTGTACATAATTACGTCGTACATTACTCGTGATACGTTCCTAATCGTCGGACACGATTATCGTGAACGCTGTTGATGAGGGGTTCTCTCTCTCTCTCTCTCTCTCTCTCTCTCTCTCTCTCTCTCTCTCTCTCTCTCTCTCTCAAGGTTTAGGGCTGAGGTTACTTTTTTTTTCGAGTATGGTTATATACAAAAGGATATCGTTGAGGTCAACGTGATACATACATGCACACTTCCTCTACCCCCTTAAGAGGGAGAGGAATTCGACTCGTCGTTTCTATCTTTCTGGATTCTTTTTTTTTTCTTCTCCTTTTCTTTCTCGCGTCTTCTTCATCGTCGGTACAATGTACAAAAAAAAAATTTTTCTCCCCTCCTGTCTGCGGCTCGTTCCTCGTTGTCCCCGTCCCCCTCCCCTCTCCATGCTTCCCACCACCCTTCTCTCAACCTTTCACCCCCCAAACATTACACGTAGTACGAAGTGGTTGCAGGTTCCATCGTATCTTGTATACGAACGCAATGTACATACAATACATATTCTCTATCGTTATTAAATAAATAATCTTCAAATAAAGTCACTATGTTCATTATCCTATGTATAGTATTTATATTCTGTATAATTCATCCTCTCTCACTCTTTCTCTCTTTCTCTCACTCTCTCTCTCTCTCGCACGCGCAACGTTTATATTTATATTTATATATGTATATATTTATATATTTATATATTTATATTCTCCATATATATATGTATATATTTATATTTATAGCGTCTTTATTTATAACTATTTATAAGGATATACTCTTTAAATAGCTGTGCTGAGACTCGCAAAGTGGTAACCATTCGTTCGATATTTTTTTCTTTTTCTTTTTTTTTCCTTTTCTTCTCGAAATCGCTCTTTCCGTTCGAATCTTTCCTCGCGATCGTCCTCGAGGAACAAGCCTCCGCGTTCTTCCTCGTCCCAAAATCTTCAGGATTCCGGCGCCGTTCAGCCATCTCGGGACCGATTCGTTCTCTTCCGTCGTGTGTGCGTGTGTATGTGTGTCTGTATGCGTGTGTTCTTCATTCGCGCAATGACGTACTTACACTCGTCGTTGTCCAGGACCGTTTCCAGGTCATATCGATCGGCTGGGGTTCCTCGTTTACCGACCTACCGCCTCTCTCCTAACCCTGAGAGGCGACCTTGGACATTTGACCAGGGCAGATCCTCCGGAGTATGCTTTGAACACCGTGTATCGTCTCCTCCTCCTCCTCCTCCTCCTCCTCCTCCTCCTTGCGTTTTAAGGTTCGTCCAACTCCCACTCGTCCAGGATTCGCCTTTCTCTCCTTTCTCTGTTTCACTATCGAGGAAGAAGATCCCCTCTTCAGTAGACCGGGTAAGGTGGCCTGTGCGGCCACAGTGGCGGGATCGGCGGTAGGCTTCCGTTCCAAGATCAAGTGTCCTTGGTACTCAGAGAAGAGTCCTCGTCCTGGCTACCGGGATACGGCATGCCTAGCTTCGGGCCTTGCTGCACCACAACCACGCACTTCCTCATGTGCTTCTCGAGCGTGCTCGGCACGGAGAACGGCATCTCGCAGAAACGGCACTTGTACGTGTCCTTGCCGTGTCTGCCGTGGGTCTTCATGTGCCTGGTCAGCTTCGAGCTCTGGGCGCACGCGTACGAGCACAGTTCACATTTGTACGGCTTCTCACCGGTGTGCGATCGCCTGTGGACCGTCAGGTTCGAGCAATTCTTGAACACCTTGCCGCAAAACTCGCACGTGTCGTTCCGGCCGCTTCGCTCCTTCTTCAGCAGCGGGCTCGGCAATCCCTGCAGCGCCAGGCTCGACGTGGTGGCCTTGGTCGCTTTGCGAAACTCGTTGTTCTCCAGGTAGTGGGGGCTCGGTAACCAGAGGCCGCCAAAGTCCGGCCCGGCGGACCTCGGGAAACCCTGCCCGGAGAAGATATTTGGCGTGGTGGTGGAATTGAAGTTGGTCGGCGAGAGCGCGCTGTCCTTCTCCTTGTTGTTGTTCAACGAGTTGGTCAGGTTGGACGGCGACTCGGTCTTGATGAAACCGCCCCGATGATTCTCCTGCAGTGCTTGCCTGTACGCCTCCGAGTACTGCGCGATGTTGCTCAACCCGAACTTTTCCATCAGATCGCCGACCAGGCTGGCCGGCTTCTGTTCCACTCGCCCGCCGCTCTCCTCCCCGCTCTGGCCCTGAGTGGTGCTCAGATCCTCCGGCGTGTTCTCCTCGGTGTCCTCCCTCTCGCCTTTCTGCTCGTTCTCGTCCGCCTCGTCGAGGTCCATGTTCTCGTCGCAGCTGGAACCGTCGTCCGGCACGGTCTCCACGCTACCCGGAGGACTGGCCGCGTTCAAATTCTCCTGATGCTCCGTTCTCATGTGCTTCCTCAGTTCCGCGAAGCTCGGCACCTCCATCTCGCAGACCTCGCACCTGGTCGGCGTCGTTTGACCGTCCTGCGTCCCGTCCTGCTGATACTGCCTCTCCTTGTCCCGGTGGCTCCTCCGATGGACGATGAGGTTCGATTGGAAACGGAACTTCTTGTCGCAGACCTCGCACGAGTAGATCGTTTCCGTGACGGAGTCCGTGATGATTGGCGTCGAGGCGACTGGCGGGCTGGTCTTCTCGCTGTCGGTCGAGTTGTTGTTGTTGTGATGGCCGACTGGGCTCTGGCTGTAGCACGGCGGCGAGTTCTCCTTCTGATGATTGCTGTGGCTGAGGATAGCGGTGTTGTTGGGCGCCGGGCTGGGTGGTTCGACCGGCTGATTGTGATTTTGCGTCGGTGGCTGTTGCTGTTGTGGCTGTTGCTGCTGCTGTTGTTGTTGTTGTTGTTGCTGCTGCTGCGGCTGGTGTTGTTGTTGTTGTTGTTGTTGCTGTTGCTGCTGCTGCTGCTGCTGGACGGTGTTCGGTACAGGCGGTACTGACGGTACCACCGGGGCGGGTGGGTTAGAATTCGTGGTTGTGTTACCGCTATTACTAGGTGGAGCCGCGCCTAAGGACGGATTAGCGAGGCTCCTTAGGCGCGCCGAGTAAAAATCCAGATTGGCCTCGAGTGGCGGTGGATGCGCCTGACCGGCGAGACCGCGGCCGTGTGACAGCTCGGCCAGGTTCGCCAGGTTCCGGGCGTTGTTCAACGAGTCCAACGAACTGCGTACCAGCGGGTCGCCGAGGTTCAAACCGTCCATGCCTCGCAGCGGGTCGCCGAGGTTTTGCAGATTCCTCGTGGCGGTCTGCAGCTCTTGAAGTCCTCTGTACCCGGCCAGCGGATTCAGGGCGAGAAAGTCCGGCCTAAACATCGGCGGGAAGCTTCGCTCGAGGTGCTGAGGTAGCCTTAGGAAACTGTGAAGCGGGTCGCCGACGAGGGACGCCGATGACTGAAGTTGCTGCCGGCCACCGCTGCTGCCGCTGGAGTTGGTGCCACCGGAGGAGTTGCCCGCGGACGAGCTCCCGGTGGACTTGCCGCTCAGGTTCAGGTGGTTCGGCGGGCTCAGGTGATGCGTGTGCGTGGGCGTTGGCGTCGGAGGGCTCGGCGCCGGCGTGTTCGACGAGGAGTTGGTCGACGACGACGGCGAGGTGTAGAGACGGGCGCCGTGGATGCTCTGCACGTGCTGCAGCAACTCCCACGCGGAGGACAATCTTCTGGAACACTGCGAACACTGCAACCATCTAGGTTCTGAAACAGAGCAACGCCGAGATGGTCTTGGTCAAATGGTTTTCATTTTAAGGGATCGATCGCGATGTTTTGCGCTGGACCGACGTCGACAATCTTTTGTCTCTGTGAAAGTTGCAACATTTTCTGAGTTTTATGTATATTTAACCCTTTCGTTACGAGCGCCGGATATATCCGGCATCTACGCGATGACCTGTGTGTACGAGTATTATTGTTTATAATAATTTCAAAGTCTCCAAATATGTCGTTATGTGAAACTTAAAGAAGTACGTCGAAAACCAGTTTACCAACGTGCAATGTGCACACTTCGCGGCGCGGTGCCCCGTTCAGTGGCGTCAGCTCTGCGGAACGAAAGGATTATATATATATAATAAATTATTATTACATAAGAATAATTTATAAATATATATATAATAATTTTTATCCAGTGATATCATACCGGCGAGTTCAAAAAAGAAAAAGAAAGCGACGAGTTATTGTATTACGGTTCGGTCACTCGTTATGGTCGGCGAACCAGTTGCCAGCGCAAGTAAAAGAGAACTCGCAAGGGGACAGAGGCGTTTCACCCCGAGACAACGATCCTTTACAAGCGATTACGAGTCAAACAGCCTAGAAGATTACCGTGAACTCGGATGATGTATGGACGCGGGGAGGAGAGAAAAAAAAAAAAAAAAGAAAATCTCCCGAGCGAACGAGCAGCGACACCACCGCGAGAACATGTGCGTCTAACGCGTGTCTAACCCACGTACACGCGGGTGGAAATAGCTCGGGCGGCTATCAATTTTCGAGGCACCCTTAATTTCGCGGAATCGGGATAGGAATCGGGTCCGTTCGCCGATTGAATTCGGAATTCAAACGGCGCGGCTGTGTCAAATTGCGGCCACGCTGGGGGCTTAAAAATAATATCCTGGAGAAAATGACGACCGGCTCGACCGGCCTCGGAGAGAGGGGTTGAAAAGGCTGGAGGCGAACGTGGGGATCGGCGAGGGGGAGGGGGGCCTCGCAAGTCTGAAACTGACCCTTAACGACTTCTCGACCCTAGCTCCGCGCTCCGTCCACGACCGCGGCAGCCACTGGTTTTGAATTTCAATGTTTTTAATCCGGAATATCAGATTTTCGGCCATTTTTCACGCTCCGGGGACGACGACGCTCGACGCACCGCTGGGGCGTCCGTGGGATTTTATTAATTCGTGGCGAGGGAGGATGAAAGGAGGGCAGGAGAAACAGGAAACGACGGGCAGGGGAGAGCGGAACAGAGACGCGAAAGATGGTCCCTTGTCTCGTCTTGCCACGGAAGTGCAACATATTCGGAGAAATCCGGAGAATCCTGGTTAGGGTGGCTGCGAGTAAAATTGATGTCTTTGTGAACGAGTTCGTTTGATTTTCGGCATTCGACGGTCGGCATAGAGTCTCGACTCGTCTTCGCTGAATTTTACTCCCTGGTGAAGGGACCTTTACTCACGAGTAAAGATCTCGTTTCGCGCGAGTTAGAAAATGAAAAAAAAGAAAAAGTTGCAGATCGTTTGCCGTATTGTACCAGTTAGCGGCAATGAAGGAAAGTCGATCAAAGAGACAAAAGATCCGGAAAAAAATAAAAGCAGTCCTAATTAAATGTCCGTTGGAGATAAGGGGAGATCTGTGTCGTGGAAGGAATGTCTGTAAGCGAGACTCTTAAAGCCGAACCTCCTTCCAAATAAGACGTTGCGTTTCACTTGACTTTCTTAAATAATTCTCTCCGCCGTTCGAACTGATTGCGACTCGTTCGTTACGCTCTCGTCGATCGTTTGCTCCTCTTTACGAATCGTACGAAAGCAGCGAACTGTGAGAGTAAAAGAAACAAAAGTCAGTTTGGACAGTTGGTGGTTAGTTTTATATCGATTATCGATTGATCCATCCGAAGACGAAGACTGATCGGCTGATCATTGGGAAAAAGGGGCAAACAGGCAGCTAACGTTAAACGCAATCTCTGCTCGGGATGGGACAACTCACTCGCGCGATTTTCGATCTTCGCGCTTCGAGTTGCTGAAATTATTCAAGAGAAACTGAGAACAACGCGCTGAGGCGTGCATCGCCAATATGCAGTGTCCAATAAATGAATCACGCCGGCGACAATGGGACGACGTAAACAATGAATCCTAAATTAAATTAGAAACAACGTCGGGGGAACGTCAGCTTCATAAGCGATATAGGGTATATACGTCGCGGCGACAATGCACAATAGAACACATATCGCCGCGTGTAACAAGGTGCTAAGTAGAATAACGAGGCTGCCGGGTGGGCGACTGACTTTTTCTTTCTTTCCCCGCCTCGCTGACCTTTCACCACGCGATTACGCTTGCGTTTTACGGCGTCGTCCAAGACGTAAGAAACGCCGAACCGGCATGGCAGAGTGAAAATGCCGCGCGCGCGATCCCTCGCGTGGATAACCTCGTTTCCTTCCACCAACTCGTCTCGTTCGCTTCGAATTCACTCAAACTTCCGACGCCGCCTATCGTCCATCAGCAGTCTGACGCAATTTCTCCACAGAGGTCTCCCGTTTCTTTTAGCTACTCGGCAGGAATTTTCGAACGAAACTTTGTCGACGAGACAAAGGAGCGGAGAAGCAGGAAGGAAAACCACTTAATTTCCAGCGCGTCATCGATTCGACGGACCTGTTGGAGAGCGAACTCGGCTGACCCCGGCGCGCCGGCAGAATTAGAAAGCGAGGAAACGGACGAGTCACGGTGGAAATCGAGGTGGGCAAACCGTGGAAATTTGGCATATTGTTTCACGCCCGTTTCTGTCCCTGCCGGGCGGGGCTGGATGCGGAAGATGTTGCCGAGTCGCCGCGACTCGTACAAGATGGGACCCGACATCCAGCGAGATAAGCAAGTGCTCCGGCATAATAAAGGTGTATCGATTCACAGGCGGACGCTTTTCATATGCAAACGTCGCGGCTGGCCATCCGTTAGGATTATTTCTTTAGCTTTTCCACGATCTTCTCCTCTCTCTCTCTGTCTCTCTCTCTCTCTCTCTTTCTCTACGGATGCTCCGGTCTCTACCAGAGATGCGGCCGATAAAGGAACGCATCGATCATGATTTATAGAGTTCCACTTACAGCGTGAATGGCTTTCGCGAGAAAAGGACCGCGGCAACGAGAATCATTGGAAATTCGAAATTTATATCCACACGTAGGTAGATACGTCCAACACCGCCGATAATTTCCGTTGGATCGCTTTTTCGGCTATCCAATTTTCATTTTCTGTTCTATTCTTCTGTTTTTTTTTTCAAATTTGATAAACATTAAAGACAATAATTGTTACATGACGTTAGTCTAACCTAGTCTAACCTAGTTATAACCTAGATTCATACATGTTGTAACATAACCTATCTTCATACATACTTGTTATAACATAACCTATATTCACACATACTTGTTATAACATAACCTACGTTCTAGTTGAACGTATCGGCATTTAACGCTGTTAAATTTTGAAAAGATTTGAGCCAATCCTATCAGAATGGAAGAGCTTCCGATGCTTTGTGAGTTAGCATAACAATGCTACAAGTGTCATTAACTTCTTCACACCCTTGGCCACCATGCGTGGACGGTCATAGTCATTTTTTTGAAATTTCGAAATGTGAACTTCATTCTCTTACGTGTTATCCTCTTTATTTACCGAAAATGAAATGAAATCAAATTAAATTTCTTTGTTACGAGCTAAAATTAAAAATTCGTCCTTGAAGAGGTTGATGCTATTTATCCTTACCGTTCTGGCTTAAAAAATTTAAGGCCAGAAGATTTTTCAATCTTCTCGACTAAAACTCTGAAATAAAATAAAATTTCTATACAGTTACTAACCCTAATATATGTGCCATAGAAAAGCTACTGTTTTATAACGAGTGAAAGAAAGTAACAACTATTTTTAAGATTCTCAAGCTCAATTGTTGCCAAGGCACTTTCTCTGAAAGTTGGATTCGTCGGGAGGGATGTATCGCAGGATCAAACGTACAATATGGCCGCATACACGGCTCGCCGATAGTGACCGAACCGATTTTCCTCAGAAATTGCCCGACAAATTGGCCCAAGCGACGTTTGCCGGCAAATCGTTCGGAACGCCATTGTTTAACGACGATCCAAGCCCTGGTCATCCTACGAATACCTTTCAACCCTTTCACGGAAGATTTCACACGAAACTTAGCCACCCTCAATCTGGAGGGCAGTTCCCGTGCAATAATTTCCCAAATGCCCTCCGGCTTTTTTCGATACCTCGCATCGTATCTCTCGTAGATCTATCACACGTGTTTTCCAAGTTTTCCACGATTTTTTCGAGAATTTCTGTTCGAATAACAGCGAGACAAAAAGATTGACGATTTATCGGCGACCAGATAAGTGAGTTTTCAGACTTTCGATGAAATTAATACTTCGCACAGACTGACAATATCCCGTTGTAAATTCATCGTTCGACACTCGATAATTGGGTAGGCGCTCGATAGCGTCGTGTAACATTGATCGGATGTAATCAATAATTTTCGAGATACACGCGAGAGTTGGAACTTGAACAGAATCTATTCCGAATGTTACAACTTGTGAATTTTCTGCTCTGGATGTTTCGCGATTAAAGGCGAGAGTGTCACTATATCGTCAGCAGTGTAGCACAAAATTGCAAAGGGAGAAAGAAAATTTGTTGGAGAGATAAATTCACCACAAGACACGAGACGAGACAGAGACAGAGAGAGACAGAGACAGAGAGAGACAGAGACAGAGAGAGAGAGAGGGAAAGTTTCAATCGGTCAATCTCCGTCGAACAAGCATAATCTGATCCCTGATTAAAATCGCCCACAATCTATCTACCTGGATACAATGCGGCGCGCGTTGTCCCTTTTAAGTGCAACCCTTGTACCTAGGACAAAGTGCATACGCCGCATACGTTGGCTAATCGATATTTTAATATTGTCACACGCCATTCTGGATTAAAGGCGTTCCGCGTGTGCGTGCACGCACACTTGCGTCCACGCGCGAG